ACTTTGCTTTTTCGGTTTTGTTCTTCCATGTCCTGTCCCTCCCCACCATGCCCACCCTGCCTGTCTCCCCCTGCTCCCTGCGTCCAGGCCCTCTCCGGCACGGCCGCTGCAACAGAGCCCCCGGCCGGGCTGGATCCAGGGCCCAGGAGAGCAGGGAACGGCGCTTTGTGTGTCCCCATGGTTGTGCTGTGTCCTTGCCAAGCAATGGGCGGGCGGCTTGGCTGTCTTGGGCTTTCCCAGCTCTGATTCCTCCCTCCTTTCCCCTGTCCCGTCGCATCCCTGGCCTCCACTCTGCCCCGTTGCATCCCACGCTGGTGCTGCATGGTGCTGCTCGCTTGGCTGGCAGGGACCTCGTCCTGCTGCTGCCCAAGCATCTCATGTTCCTGCATCCTGAGCATCCCATGCTCCTGAAGCTTGAGCATCCTGTGCTCCATGCTCCTGCATTGTGAGCATGCCAGGCTCTTGCATCCTGAATGTCTCATGCTCCTGCATCCTGAGCATCCTGTGCTTCTCCTGCCCACGTTCCTGCATCCTGAGCATCCCATGCTCCTGCATCCTGAGCATCCTGAGCATCCTGCATCATGAGCATCCCACACTCCTGTTGCTCGAGCATCCCGTGTTCCCGCTACCCAAGCATCCCATGCTCCTGCACCTGGAGCTCCCTCCAGGCACAGCCTTTGCTGACACCGTCTTTGCTCCCCGCTCCTTGCAAAGCAGCCAAGGGCCCCCCAGCAGCTCCAGCTCGGCCCCAGCAGCGCCCCAGTGTCCCCCTCCTCGGCAGGCGCACCAGGGCCAGCGCGCACAAGCTCCGCGTGGCTCCCTTGGCTTTGCCAGCCGCTCCGGAGCTGCTGGGCTCATCCCAGCCGTGCCCGGGCCCTCTGCTCGGGAATCCTCCGGGATTCCACTCCCGGCCGCCCTGCTCGCCCAGCCTGCACCCCCCAACCCCTCCATCCCCCCAACCTTCACCCCCAGGTTTGCTGGCCAAGAAATGTCTGTTGTTTCAGCAGCGCGCGTGGGACACGGGAGCCGAAAACACGCCCAGGAAAACGAAAATAGAGAAAAAAAAGAGAAAGAATAATAAAAAATAATTAATAATAATAATAAAAAAAGAGCTCTCGGTGTCCCTGGCAGTGCTGCCTGAAATCTGGCTATTTTTAGTGACATCTTGTACATATGACTGTAAAATGGTAAACCGTGTGTATTATATATTGCCTCATTATATAGTGTATATATATGTATACATATACATATATATAATATATATGAAGACTGTAAATGTTAAGACTAGTGTTCTTATTAGTATATTGCTTCACACTGAAGATTGTGTGTAACAAGCTGTTTCTAAAAGATGTTTATTTTCCTTAAGAGTAAAAAACAGGTCATTGCATTCAGAGCGTCAATAAAGATACAACGATTGTTTTGGAAGTACGTGGCGGCCCCGACACGTGTTTGTGCTGCGGGCGCCGGGCGTCTGGGCAATGGGGAACCCTCGTCCCGTGTTCCCCCCTTCCCATCCCGGGGATCCCTGCCCTGGACGTCACTACATGAGGAATGGCAGGATCCCGAATCAGGGATGCCCCGTTGGGCACTCGCAGCAGGGCTGGGGGGTCCCCGTGTGCCCTGGAGCTCTGTGCCCATCCCCAGGTCCATCCCAGCCCCGCACTCCAGCACACACCGGTATAAATAATTGGCTTTAATTATCTGTACAAAACTCTCCAACTACGAAAATACCGTTTAAAAAGGCAAGGTGGGGGGGGTGCGGGGCTATGTACAAGGGGGACATGCAGCTGCGGGGCACGGCCCCCCCGCGCCACCGGCTCCGTGTCCCCGGATGCTCCGGGTGGCACCGGGGCCTGGTGGCATCCGCGCACGGCGGGGGGCCGCTCAGTGCTAGTGTTGGGGTGTGGGGGCCCCCCCTCTTATGCACCGCGGGCACCGTCACCAAGAGGTCCCCGAGCTGCCACCGCGGGGCCAAAGCTCCTGGCGCTGCCCAGCAATGAGGGTGACACCGGAGCGGTCCCGTGCCGGCAGCAGGGACCCCGCGGAGGGGACATAGGGCCAGCAGCAGTGTGGGGAGGCCAGGGTTGAGGCTGTGCTGGGGACACCGGCCACGCTGGGCACGCGGCCGGGTGCCATGCAATACTGTGACGGTGTCACTAGAGGTCCCCATGCCCCGTCACCCACCGGGCTGGGGACAGCGCTGGGCATGGGGACGGAGCCAGGGGGTCTCGCCGCCGGCCAGGGGGGCTCCTGCCCARTGTGCGGCACGCCGGAGCCGGGATGGGCGCAAGGAGCGGGGCACGCGCCCTCGCTAGCCGGAGGTGACAGTGGTGCCGCTGCCCAGCTTGATGATCATCTGCTGGCAGTCGTGCAGCGCGCGCTTGTCGCCGAGCCGCTCGAGCGTGCGGGCGGCCTCGGCCAGCACGCCGCCGCGCGGCCCCGGCGCCGCCGCCAGCCGGGGCGGCAGGCAGCAGCAGCCCAGCAGCAGCGCCTCGGCCTGCTCCCGCGGCGTGCCCGCGCCCTCGGCCTCGCCGCCTGCAACGGGACACGGGGCCGGCGTCAGCCCCCGGGCGCTGCCAGGGCCAGCGGGCTGGCCGGAGCGCGTTGCCGCCGAGGGAGCCCCGCAGCGCGCGGTGTCGGCAGTAGGGACCAGAGTGAACGCGAGGGCTGCAGCCGCGCYGCCCCTCACCTGCTTTGCTGCCCTGCACGCCTCTCCGGCGCAGGCTGCGGTCCAGCAGCTGGTGGGTGCGCGTGGGGCTGGCGCGGGCCATGAGCCGGGCGGTGGCTTCGTGCAGGAAGACCTGGGGGGCAGCAGGGCGGTGAGGGGGGCGCGGGGCGGCAGTGGGGGGGTGGGCGCTCACCCTGCGCATGGCGGGCCGGAAGGTCTGCGCCAGGCGCCGCAGGCCGCTCAGGTCCTGCTGGAAGCCGCGCAGCTCCAGCGCGGAGGGCTGGTAGGCGCAGCTCAGCTGCTGGCTCACGCTCATCTGCTGCTGCCACGCGTTGGTGCGGGTGACGAGGAGCAGGTCACACAGGAGCAGCTGGGCGGCCTGGCGGGGCGAGAGGCCGTGAGCGGGGAGGTGGCGCCGGCGCCGTGCCCGCGGCCGTGCCGGGGCCGGGTGGCGGCGCTGCGCGGGGCGCCCGCGGGGCTGCACCGCAGGGGCATTGCACTCCCAGGCTGACACATGCAATGCAACTACAATGCACCCCCGCGGGGGCCAGGGTCACCTGCCACCGCCTGGGGACGGCCACCAGCCACGGCCACGCGGCTACCCGCCTCCGTGGCTGTGGCCGCCTCACCTTGTCGATGGTGGCCTTGGCAGGGCTGCTGGCGTCGAGGCTCTCGCGCAGGTAGCCGCTCGCCTTCTCGCACTGGCCCAGGCTGGCCTGGCAGCCGTCCTGCTTGCTCAGCAGGGCCCGCACGGCCTTGAAGCAGTGCAGGGCYGCGCGCGGCAGCGGCTTCCTGCGCGGGGACGGCAACGGACACCGTCAAACGGAGGGACCCCAGCCTCATGGTGGCCTCCCCGGAGGCTCCAGCTCCGGCCTCGGCTCTGGGACCCCGGCCTCGCAGCRCTGGTGCCACCCCGCGGGGGCAGCCGCACTCACTCGGAGCTCTGCAGCGCCCGGGGCATCGTCTCCACGAGCGGGTAGAGGCGCTCGGCGCCCTCCTCGTCCCCCTGCAGCCAGTGGATGACGGTGCCGATGACGGCCGCCCACCACTTGGACACGGGGTCGGTGCCTGCGGGYGGGATGGAGGGGTTGGGGAGCGCGGCGTGCCCAGGGCAGCACCTCGGCGCGCGGGGACGGCCGCGGGGACGGCCGTGCCARCCCGCGCTGCGCTCACCTGTGACGGCGGCCAGGCCGGAGGCGATGGAGGGCGCGGGGCCGGGCGCATCGCTGGTGTCGGAGCACCCGTTGAGCAGCTGCAGGTACTCGAGCGCGTCCGAGAACTGCCTGCCGGGTTGGGGGACACACAGGGCCGGTYGGTGACACCAGCCGCCGTCCCCCACGCAGCAGGAGGCCGGGAGGCGCCGCGGGGCACTCACCCCTCGCCGTGTGCCGCGGCGCGCCGGGGCTCGGGCATGGCCACGCAGCACAGCGCCTTCTCCAGGAGGTGCTCGCGGAAGAGCTGCGTCACCTGCGCCAGGGGGTCCACTGCGGCGCGGAGGGCACGGTGACACGGGGCCGGGCGTCCCCGCGCGCCGCACCGCGCGCTCCGCGGCGCCGCCGTACCTGGGTTGCTGGCCGAGCTGTAGATGCTCTCCCGGGGCGGCCCCTTGACCACCCAGTCGCCGTCCACGAAGAAGCGGTGGCCCAAGGGGTGGCAGAGCCACTGCATGGCCGGCGGCACGGCGCCGCTGTGCGACAGGGCCACGCGGCGCGCGCTGCACAGGAAGGGGCGCTGCGGGCGCAGCGGGGTGAGCRGYGGCGGCGCGGGGACGGGGACGCGCGCGGGGACGGGGACTCACCGCCAGGAAGTGGAAGCAGCGGTGCAGGCTGGCCTTGACGCGCAGCGCCGCCGCCACGTAGATCTCGGCGAGCGCGGCCACCGAGACGGCGTCGCCGGCGCACTCGGCCAGGTTGACGGCGCTCAGCGCCAGGTTGATGGCCAGCAGGTGCCCGCCGGCCTGCTTGCCTGCGGGCCGCGGCGGATCAGCGCTGGCAGGGCTCCTCTGGCCCCTTCCCATCTCGTCCCATCCCTCGTGTCCATCCCATCTTGTCCCATCCCTTCCACCACATCCATCATACCCATCTCCTCCCCATTCAGCCTGTCCTGTCCCCGTCCCACTCAGACCTTCTCATCCATCCCAACTCATCCCATCCCATCCTTTATACCCCATGCATCCCAGTCTGGCCAATCCTTTCCATGACCCAGCACGTCCACATCCATCCCGTCCCATCCATCCCGTCCCAGTTCAGCCCAACCCGTCCCTTCCCAACCCATTCATCCCCTCACTTCCAWCTCATCCTGTTCRTCCCATCTCACCCAACCCAGCCTGGCCCAGCCAGCCTCTTTCATCCCGTCCCATCCTCATTCCTCCTGTCCTGTTCCCATCCATCCCATCCCCATCTCCATCCAGTCTGTCCCATCCATCTTATCCTGCCCCTTCCCATCCATCACACCATAACCATCCCATCCTGTTCATCCCATCTCACCCAGTGCAGCCCAGCCCAGCCAGACCCACTCATCCCGTCCTGTCCCCACCCACCCCATCATGTCCCCATCCATCTTCTTCCACCCCATCTCATCCCATCTCCATCCTTATATCCCCCATTGATCCCATCTCCACAACATCCCCATCATATCCCCACCCATCCTATCCCATCCCAGCCCGTGTCATTTCCATCTATCCCATTATGTCCCGCATCGATCCCATCTCCACGACATCCCCATCATATGCCCATCCATGCTTTCCCACCCCATCCCATTTCCATCCTCATTCATCCCATCTTACCCATCTCCATCTCAACCCCATTCATCCCATCTCCCTCCCAATCCCCATCTCATCTCCATTCATCCCATCTCCAACCCCATCCCATCCCCATCCCCATCTCCACCCCATCTCCAACCCCAT